ACTAGAAATCAGTGGTTAAGTTGTATTTACAGCACTGTTCCAGAACAGTTCAAACCAAATATTCAGACGTGTGCAACGCATTTAACGGAGTACGAGGACTGTTTCCTGGGAGAGTAGCCTACAATGGCGGTGTTCCAGTGAATTCAGTTCCCGTTTCCCCTTCGGCGCGCATGCTGACCCTATACAGTCTATGATGCTGACAAATAATGCTGACTCACAGACTGTAAGTACGTTTTCATATTTAAAGAATTTGCCACTGATGATTCAAACGTGAGTTTTGAGCAGTGTAGAATAGCGCATTTTGTTTGTCATTTGTTGTTTGACATGGTTTTATGTTTACGCGGCTCGATACGCAACACAACGCGTAAAAAGACAGTATAAGTCATTATAATCCGTAATTATGTCCCCACTCGATGCAACAAATGCCTCATTTATAATGGGTTTTAATGTTTTTGTCTCGTCATTCCGGCCGGACATGGCATCACAGTATGTTAAGGGAAGTAACATTTCCATCACATGCTTGAGGTATTCGGCCAATCACAACGCACTGGATAGCTGGCCAATCAGAGGACACCTCGCTTTTCAGACCGATGAGCTTTGTAAAAATCGACACGTTTCAGAAAGGCGGGGCATAGAGGAGAAACAATAATGTACAGTATGTGGAAAATAATGTGTTTTTTGAACCTTAACCGCATAAACACATTTCATTACACCAAATACACCAAATAATGTTATTTTTTAGCAATGTCATATGACCCCTTTAATATAATGGTTGAAAATGTTAATCATCATCTGGGTTATAGGACTACAAACTGAACAGCTCTGTGCTAAAACTGATGTCCATCAGTCTATCCATTAAGTTATCTTTACAAGTTTCACTTTTATTGCAATAGTAATATCTTCTTTTATGCCATTTTCTTCCAGGTACGCGGGTACACTTCTAGGAATCACAAACACTTTTGGGACCATCCCTGGTGTTCTTGCACCAATTGTAGTGGGTTACTTGACCAAAGATGTAAGCTGTGTTCTTTACTTTGTGTAACACTGCAGTAGTTTAAAAGAATTCATCAGCAAAAGCTGACATTTTTTATATGTTCTCCCTTCCTTTGTCTTTTCGAGCAGCACTCAGTTACAGGATGGAGACACGTGTTCTGGTTGTCTGCAGGGGTGAGCGCCTTTGGAGCCATCTTTTACGTGATCTTTGGCACTGGAAAGATTCAGAGCTGGGCAAGGACAGATGAGGAATCAGACACAGATACACACAATTAAACATTCCAGTTGACCAATTCAGAGGGATACGAGGACTGCCTTTGAGTTTTATCCTATACTCAACACATGCTACCAGTCAGAAGTTTGGACAAACTTCATACTTTTTCATGATTTAAAAAAAAAAGTGTTATTCTAAAGACGAACATAAAATATACCTACTTCATAACTTTTTTTTATTTTTTATAAATGGACCAGATAGTGACATTTTTAGGTCACTACATAATTCCCATATGTGTTATTTTATAGTTATGATTACTGTTATTCAAAAAAAAAAAGAGTAGCATGTCCAAACTTTTGACTGATAGTATTAATAATACTCCACTCAGGGTTTTAAAAGGGAAAATTTGAAGTGCCTTACAATGTGTAGTTTATTAGTCTGGTAATATTTATTCATTGCTGAACAATTCAGAATTAATCATAATACAATTTAATTGAGAATTCAGAGTAATTCCATGTCTTAATCTCATTCAATCTTAATCTCATTCAATGAAAAAAATATACTCTGGACTTTATACTAACTTTCAATCAAATGTAATGTTTATTACAGTGGTGAAATAGAACAGATTTAGGGGTATTATCTAAATTTAAGTACATTTGAAAATACTTGTTAATAAGCACTTTAATGCATTAATAATGAAAATACCTTACTTCTTGGTACCAGTGCTGTTCAAGGCATTTTAAACTTGCTAATGAAGTAACTGTACTCCATTAATTGTGTCATTCAGTTCAGCACTCAGCCACTTGGTTTGTTACAGATTTACTAACAGATACAGTCCATTCATATTTACTGGAATTTGCCAGACATGGTACATTATTGTTTTGAAACTTGTTGAAATGTTTAATGAATTTGAGTTTTTGATGACTACATTAAGCTAGTGCACAATTTAATTGTTACATGTTTGGTAAGCTAGTGCACAATTAATTTTTTTGTATGTATGACTCTTTGAGTGTTTTAAATAAACATTAACTTAAACTTAATGTTTATTTAAAACACTCAAAGAGTCATACACTAATTGAGTCACAATGGCCAGCACTTTTTTTTTTTAAATGGCATGGATATCTCAGTGCTGAAAATTGCCCAGTATTACTATTTCATTTTTTTTTTAAATAATAAGTGATATTCCTTTATGATGTTGATCATGCTCAATAAATAAAAGTGAATTTTTACAGTGCAGTCATATTCCATCTGCTTTGTCAGCACTTGTTATGTGTTCTTCAATATGGATGAATAGATCATTAATCAAACATTTGTATTCCTATGTGCGATTACAGAGTAAATAACCCCATCATTTTAATGGCTACAGTGTAAATAATAAACGAGGCATTACAGTCAACTTGTGGCATTTGGGGACTCGATTTCTCAAAACAACAGCCAGCAGATGGCGCATCATATCGTTGATAAATGGCTGAATTATTAGAATGCCTCAAAATTAACATCCGATAGTACTGCGTGTTTAAATGTTATATATCTTAAATTTGTGTATTATTATAACTAAAACAGTCAAGGGGCAATAATACCAGATATATGAACAATGTCACTGCCTATGTCAGATAAGCTCCGGCACTTTCTACTTACCTCAGCACTGATGAGAAAACGACCCGGATGTACTTGACTGAATGCGGCAAGGTCTCGTGCTTGTTTACATGTGTGACAGTGATGTAAGCGTGAAGATTGTCATGCAACCTTACTGGGCGTTTTAACCTTTTGTGTCATTAATATAGTGCTAACTTTGATGTGATATATCGATTTTTATCAATAAGACAGCGAATATTTTATTATTTTAGGTTGGTCTCTTTAATCGTTCCTATGACATTGTAAATGCACCCTTTCCGTATCTGTGTGTGTGTGTGTGTGTGTGTGTGTGTGTGTGTGTGTGTGAATAAATGAGCGATCTTTAGTCCAATCCGGCATACCATGAGGACAAAAATAAGACTGGTAGAGTAATAAAATAACCTTTCTTGTGTTACAGTTGTACTAGCTGTCCAAAGAAGCAAAGAGTTTGCTCTATGTACTTGATCTTGCCCTACCACCCTATTATATTGTTTAATATTACTGTAGATGAGTCTTATGTTGCTTCCTTGCTTGAAAGACATAATCACGGAAACATTAAGGTAATATATGAACTGTAGGTCTTTAGATGGGTGAGATTTTTATTAAAAATGTATTTATTATATTGACTATAAACAACAGATAGCACACGTACGTCGCGGGGACGTCTGTGCGATGTGTGCGTTTGCGTCTGGGAGACGTATTTTTTAGGGCGTTTGCTCATCTGGAAGACGTCGCATAGACGTCCTTTTCCGACGTTCCAGCGACATCCGGTGGACGTATTACAGACGTTAAATATTAGAACGTTGTCTATTAGACAGACATCTGATTTACATCGCATAGACGTCGTTCTTAATTATACGTTTTAGACGTTCCTTCATATTTTCTGCTATTGATAACAGCTGCAGTTACACTGATTATGCATGTGTCTACACATATATGATAAGCATGATAACTAAACCCGAGTATTTTTCACTCAGAATGAAAGAACACAACATGCTGTTGAATTATTTGTATCATTTTATTAACAGTGAATGAAAATAAGCAGTCATTTATGTTATATTATTATTATTGTTGTCGTTTTAATCCTGAAACAAACAAGCAAACAGCAAAAAGCAAGTTGATTAAGACGGCATTCTCCCTGGGGCCAAGCGGA